TTTTTGTACATGTGTTGTCCCCTTCTGAAATCAGGTTCCTCTGAACCTTTTCATGACAACTTCTCTTTGGCATGCAAACCGGCTTTTTAGAGTAGTTCAGTATATTTAAGGGCCATAGGGATTACCCTTGAATACCCCGTTAAAAACGACGCAATATTAAATTTAAAATAAATATTTTGCTTTCAAGTCGTGAGTAGCATGTTTATTTGGGGTGGTTGTTGGTTAATTTTCTCTGTCTGCCCTTTTAGGCAGCACGAAACCGAACTGATGGATAAGATTGCCGAATTACAGCAAGTGAACTCGAACCTCTCAGACCGGGAAGTGAGGTACGTCCACGCTTCACGCTTCCAATTTTCAAAGTCACCTGGCTGAGATACAGGCGTTGAGCTCGCAGCTGGCAGAGACGCAGCTTGAAAGTTCGAAACAACGGACTGCCGACTCGACCCTAGTGAGCGAACTGCGTCTGGAAATCGCGAACCTAAGGGGTCAGGATAGTTGCGATTGGATAAGCCCTTGACGATCGATTGTTCGATGTTTTTACCACGCCGGTATGTGTTTTGTTTTAGGCGACCGGGGTCTACTGGTTGCACAACTAAAGAAGACCTTGACGATGCTTCAAGAAACGCGTCAGTTGTGGTAGGTCGTGCTAATTTAAGCGGGTGTGAAGGTGCCTTTTCAGCTCTACCATCTCTCTCCAACATGCGCAGATTCGACAGGAGATCAAATCAGAGTCGCAGCGCATTGCGGGAGTAACAGAACGACTGGTAGTTCCTTTCGCCCACCTAACCCCGCCTTTGTTGTAGATCAATAAGTCTCGCGGTAACCACGACTGTGAAAATATTTATGCGGAGGTATTTGAAAATTATGTGTTTTTTTTTAAATTAATTTTAACAGCACATTCTGATATTGTTATAGTTTGTAAGTTAAGACTAGCTGTAGTAATTTACTCGGTAGCAAGGTAAGTCCGTTTTTTCTCCTACCACAAGGATATTCTGCTGTTGAAAACAGCACTGAATTTCTTGTTTGTGAAAAATAACTGTTCACTTAGCTACCTTACTTTCCGCAGTGGTGCAAAATTTACTTTTTATCTTTTATATATAATATGCGCTTCGGAATAGCGAGTCCGGGCTGGAATCCCCGGTTCTAAAAAACTTGACATTGGTATGGCTGCCTGACGACGGTTAATAAGCCAGAAACGGTCATTTCAGTCTATTTTGTCCTTGTCGACATCCTTTTCATATATTATACATATATTTATCGGAATGAATGCACACCGTATGGGTGGCAATGGTCACAAACAGGCCTTATGACTATATCCTATAAATACTGCAACACCTGGCCAATCTCCTATTCGTGTTCATCTTTCTTTCTGATGATGGATTCGAGTGAGAATTCGAAAGGTTGGGATACCAAAGCTCTTATTCCAACGATCGTGTCTTTTTCTTCGTGACTACTTACTGGAACTTGCCTCTTCGTCTTTATTATACGTAACCGTTTTCGGCGTAGTCTGAATTCTTATTTATTATTATGAGGGTTCGGTAGATGTGAATAATTCAGTTGGCCCAATTATGAAAATTTGTGGCCTCGGTGGGATACGAATCCACACAGCAGGGAAGGCTTCAGTACAGCCAATGCTCTACCAAAGCCCTACGAAGGCACGCCGAAAGACTTGAATTTAATTACACTTGGGTCGATTTACCCAACCAGCTTACTGCATGTACTAAAA